TATGGGGTGTAGCGTCGCGGCGTCCAGGGCAGAAATATCCGGCAAAGGCCACTTGCAGGCGATCAACCAAGCTGCACCTTGAAGTGACAGGCAGCGGGCCCCGCGCGGAGGAGCGACCGGCAGCGGGCCCCGCGCTGAGGAGCGACCGGCAGCGGGCCCCGCGCTGAGGAGCGACCGGCAGCGGGCCCCGCGCTGAGGAGCGACCGGCAGCGGGCCCCGCACGGCGGAGCGACCGGCTCGCCTGCCGAGGGAAACTCACCCGTATGCATATGGTGCCACCACCGGAGAGCTTTTTAGTCTTACTTTTATTATAAAAGGCAAAGTTACCGTGATCCTCCGGGGCCAGAAGCAGCTCACAGGTAACCATTAACCCTCTTGATGAAAAATCACAGAGAGTCACACCTGCCTCGGCTTCGGAGGAAAGCTCCCTTGTCTGGTCACAGCCTCGAAACTGTAAGCGGTGGGCTGCATACTTCTGCTAATGAGCCTGCTGGGTTATTTTTCAGCTGATTTATTTCGCGTGTCAAGCGCATTTACGTAAATGAATGGAGCATTTAGATAAAGTTAAAATAATTTAACAAAATGACTGCACAGTGGTCCCAAGTGCCTGTGATGTTTATTTGTCCTGTAACAGCGCTGGGATTCGCCCCACTTAATACAAAATGGCCCCTTTGAACATTTCCTGCGAGTATTTGTTCCTTCCTTCTCCAAGGAGACGATATTAAATTTATCCAGGTATATAAGGTGGATTTTCATAACGACAAGCACTCCTGACTACGGAGAGCCGTAAAACAAAGACAAATGTTCATCGGCTTCCGAAATGCTAGCAATTAATCATAGACATTAATAGACATAATGGACTATTTCCAGTATATGAGATTCATGACACTGACGTCTTTAAAAATGAAAGTGTTATATATGCAGAAATAAATGTTAATTTAAACCCTCATAAGATTGGCGCAAATGTTGCATGCATCCTGCATATATTAAAAAACCTTAAGCATGTTTTTACGAATAAAAAACATAGAGATACCAGGTGATGGCCAATCAGAATGGCTGTTGTTGGAAGAACATCAGCATCCCCATGTGGAAAAGAGAGAGTATTACACATTTAGCTATATACATACCTACATGTTAATGAAGTTGATCTTTTTCCTTTTTACTGATTTGTTATTTATCTTAGGAATTTTGAACTGAAGAAGTGTGTGTGATCAGTACTCCAATGAAACGGCAGCATTCTATAGCTAACACCTGCTGAACAACAGCAGATCATACAGCCATTGCAATCCCACACAAGGGGAAAAATCTACACTATTATTTATTAAATTTTAGACATAACCATAGCAACTCACAGTGCCTAAAATCACACTAGACTATAACATTAAAATGTAACTGGAAGTGGTGATATCACTTCTGAATAATAATATCAATAATGCTACTGTCTTTCAGTATAAGAGCTATACCTATTTGTGTGTATGTGTGTGTGTGTGTGTGTGTGTGTGTGTGTATAAATTCCTGGCACATTTTGTTTTATCTCCATATGTTTGTGAGTGTGCATGCATATATTACACACACACACACACACACACACAAACATTTGGAGATAAAAACAAATTGTGCAAGGAATTTATCGACTGTAGTGTACATAGGGTATATGTTATCACTGTCCTATTGAGAATAAAAATAGAAATTTTATATTTTTTGGTAATATAAAGCAATACATGTTTACAAAGGCCCAGCGCTCACAGTGGTGTCAATAGTCACTGTGCTGAATGCAGGGGAAATCATAATGAGACAATCAGCTCAGTGATTAAAATAATAATTGCAAAGGGATTTAGAATGTGCACACACACAATCTATTTTATTACAAGGAGTAATTCTAATCTCATTAGGAAAATCTGTGATGGCGATTTATAAAGGAGAGCAATCACAAAGCTGTATCCATAAATCTAAACAGGGAATTGAGCATTATAGCAGTTAGTTATTGTTTTATGCAGTGTAATTTAAGTTTGTTTTGTGCAAGTGCTAATATTACTTTGCATGGTTGTTGGAAGCAGATTGTCGTTAGCGGTGTTCTGCTTCCGTTAATATTGTTCCCAGCATTAGTCATGTGCAAACAGAATGCGACAAAAATGAACATTTACAATTCTGGGAACGTGCGATAGATTATAAGCAAAATTTGCAAATAATGCAATCATATGATTTTCACTTTACTTATAAAGTGTAAAAGGAAACCAACGGAATGGACTGCTTCCTGTGAAAGGTGCCAGTGTTAACTGAGAGGCTGCCATTATTATTGACTACAGCGGGGGCACAATTGCCGTTACACAGCGTGCTGGATCGAGTCCTCAGCACTAACATCACTAAGAGCCATAGTAGCCAGGACCTATTACCACATCAGAAACTTGCTAGGAAACCATGTTGTGTTTTCTGGGTATTGTGACTATTCATTTAGCTGGCTAGTGTTCCAACTAACAGCTATATTACCATGAAATATCACACACACACTTGTAGGTAGATCTTTAATGAAAGAAGCTTTTTGGAAAACGTTGAGTGCATGTGTTTATTTAGACGTGATGTCTGCTTTTAATGGCGCAGAATTGGCTTGCGTGGGATCACGATTTACAGGTTCTGGTCAGACACTGTGCATCCATTATTCTCTGATGCAATGACAGTGGGATGTTCACCGAAATACTAGATGAACATATAATTTTTCTGGCAGCCCTTTACAGATTGCATCCTGCACTTACGTACATTAGACTGACCATGGAAATGTGTAAATGTCACCATAACATACAGTCAGGTCATTTAAGCCTATTCTGCCAGCAATTTCGAGCATTTTGTTAACTTTACGTCACGTCGGGTACAGACCTACGAGCCGTGGTACATTCTTAATACTAAAGATACTATTGTTAGGGTTCAGATTTATATTTACAGGGATCCTGTATTTGAGAAAAAAAAAGCATTGAAATTTTTATCAGTGAAGCAAAGGTTGTTTGTTTAAAGGTGGCAGTGAAAAAACGAGGCAGCATGCTCGCTCGATGGGTAGTGCTGTACCCTTACTTAGGGTTGGGTGTACAATTCCGGCCCTGGCTCTGGGCGACTGCTGTTCTCCCCATGTTTGAACAGGATTATTCGGATATTTTGGTTTCCTCTCATGGTCCAAAAACATGTGGTTAGGTCAACTGGTATCTCTGAGTTGCCTGCAGTATGTGATTGTGTGTGCGTGTGAGCCCTGTGGTGAACTGGCAGCCCATCCAGAGTGTCCTCCAGCTTTGTGCTCAGTACTTCCTCGGGTAGACTCCAGAGTAAACTCCATACTGAATAAACAATGTGGAAGAAGCAGGGAATAAAAAAACATGTTTAAGGAATAATCATGCAGAAGAACAAAAAATCATAGAAGATCATAATCCATAGCGTGGTGGGTCTAGAAGTTTTGACCTTTGAGTCATGGTTGTTGCCTACAGCATGACAGAACAAGTCTCTCCACTGGACGCCTTTCATTTCTCATTTATTTCCTGTTTATGTGGCCTGTATTTGCTTGTTCACTAATAATTGGTATAATAAAAGAGTACTGGCCAGTATTTCTGTAGGAACAGTACATAACTCTCACATCACGTACAAACATCAGCAGTAACCTTACATTTTTTTCCACAGGAGGTCTGTCTCTGGAAATGCCAGCATTACAGCAAAACACATTCAGTACGGCGCTGTAGACACTGTAAAACCATAGACATGAGACTGAACTCTTTTTCCCCCTGCACCAGTATTTGACAACTTCTTATAAAGACAAGAGGTGGAATACATGCACTCTCAGCAGATCTGTGATCTGTCATCAGAGTCAGCCCAGAGTACTGCACGCCTGACACTGACAAATATTGGAAAGAGAGATTCGTTACACTTCTGGTGGAAGCAATAATTTTATGGTTTATAAGGTTTCAACAGAGTTGATTTGCAGGGTCCTGCTGTGGTTCAAATTAACATCAACAGCTCAACAGACTGCTGCACATTTTTGTTCAAACACTGTATGATGCAGCTGTTCAGCTTGTTTAGCCCTTTGGATGGACACACTGTCCCGCTGCATCACTACACATCATCCGCGTCTCATCCACACAGCTTACTGCCTCTCGATTTCTGAAAGATATCGCAGTTCGTCACAGGCCACCTTGGAAAATGAGCCACCTTAAAATTATGCATATCTATGTACAATGCATATTAGATTTCATATATGGTGCATTGTAATTAGTCTTGGTCAGTGAATTGGTTGACTGTCAGAACGTGCTGCGGTTACAGGCAGCCAAGCCCGTGCACTAAACATATAATACTACACTAACATACAGTGACTGTGCCTAATTCTACTTGATTTTTCCCAATGAAGGTGTCATATGTATATCTAAAAAAAAATTTGGATAATTACAGTTGTGTTAAAAACTTCATAATAACTAAATAATATAAGAAAAAAATCAGAAAATCAGATTATGAGAAAACCCAATGAAGTGAGGTTGAGGGTAAACGAGGTAAGCAAGAATTAAGTAACAACACTACTACTACTACTACTAATAATAATAATAATTATTATTATTATTATAATTATTATTATTATCAAGCTCTGATTCTCCTTACTCCCTAAAATATGTCAATATAATGTAATACGTCACAGCAGGTACATTGCTAAGTAAGGACTACTTTTTTCAATGAGAATTGTTCAGAAGATGAATGGAGCTCAGGCTCAGCTGTCACCAAAGCTGGCTGGTCTTTAGGTAAATTTAGCAAATATTATGTATTGTTCTGTTATGAAAGAACCAATTTGGGGAAGAGTGTGACTCTACAAAACTGGTAATGTTTGGGGAAAAATAAATTTAAAAATCCAAAATCGTAAACATCATGTTGTACTTTTAATATTTAAAATAAATTACATTTAAAGCTGAGGCACAGTTTAAAACATGTTATTTTAAATTTGATCCTAGGGTGAGGCACACGGAGCCTGCTAGCGCACACTGACATTGCCGGCCAAATGGCGCCTCCACCGGCGAACTTCTCCGTGCAGCTGGGCCAGAAAAAAGACCGAGGGGGCCGAAATCGCAGCGACACGCACTTCCTGGAGCTTCTGCAGTGACTGCAGGGGGGGGGAGAAAGTGTCGGCGGCGGCTTCGCTCCTCAAAGTTAAAGCGCCCCGGCAAATGGGTGCAAACTCGCGGCGTCGCGAGACGAGCTCGTGCGTCGGCGCGGCTACGGGGGGCCGCTGATGATCGAAATAGTGCGCCGATGTGGGGAGCGCGGACTGAGGCCAGCGCTGCTACTCCATCCCCAGGCTGTCACCAGGCCGTCGAGCGGCCTAAACGTATCCAATAACCCTTCGCCCGGCAGAGGTCTAGGTTAACCAACTAGTAAAACCGAGGTCAAGACAGCACTAGTCTTATCCGGCCTCTGATTAAGTTAACCTGACTACACAGTTTTCCTAACCGTGGTTATCCGTGACGCTGAGGCGCTTAGCTGCCTGGCTAAGTTTCCACAGTCCTCCGGGGGAGCACCGTTTCACAGCCGGCGTATTTCTGCTACCTTCGCCTGCCTTCCGGATGTTTGATTAGCGCGTTTCTTTGTAAAATTCGGCTTTAATGAGTAGCGATGTCCCTCCCGTCTGCCGAAATGCTGGAGACGCCGCCCGGTTACCCTTTTGAGGAGATAGACTATTCGGACATTGAAGTTGAGGAGGTAAGTAGCTAGTTAGCTAGCCACGTCGTCAGCTGCAGGGAGACACGGGGCGACTCGCTTATCTAAATTCGGTATTTTCATTATAACACCTCGGCTGAGTTCCATCTCTTCAGAGAGGCACGTTGTTTATAGTGGCGTGTATAGCTAGCGAGCTACTGGCTGATTATTGACGGGTTGCAACACGACGCATCGGGGTGTCATGGTGCCGAAATGCAGATAAACGCGTATAAATGCACATAAATGTGGCTGATGTCGCTTTGTGGGGCTGTGAAGCCGGCAGGCGTTTGCGTTTCTCGCTGGATCCGCTAATCTGCCGGAGCTGCGGCGGAATGCGGGCAGTGGATTCCTGCACGCTGCTCTTTTTTCCACTTCGCACACCAGCTAAACATAGTTACTTTAATTCTAAATCAGCTAAACATAGTTACTTAAAACCTTAGCTGTAAACTGGCTAAACAGATTTTTTTAGATTCAAACCTTTCGGAACATTTCACGTTGTGTGGCTTCCCTGTCTGTATAGGTAGGTACTAAGGTACACCAAAGTGACAACGAAATCAACTACGTTTAATGAACATTAAAGATTTACCTGCCAAGCGAAATCTATATCTCTGTATACATTTATAATTAAAATCTGAGATCACGATGCCATAAAAAGCATGCTGGACACCAGGACACCTAATGAAACACAGACAATGGGAGTATAGTGAGTAGTATCTAAATATAATGTCAGTGAGCATACTCACCGTGATGGTACTTGAAGTACTGTCAGAGTCCAGGCTTGCCACCTCCCATGGGTCCATCTCCGGCAGGAATGTGCAGCTGGATTATTCCCTGAGCCTGGTGCCCCGGGCTGGCGGAGGGGGCCACAGGGCTGTGTGTACGCCAGGCAGTACAAACAGTGACCAGGGCTCTCTGGGGTTACGCATCGTACTGCGACTGACTGACGCTGATTTCTGAGCTGCCTTCATACATATATATCTCTGCTTCCAGAGTACCGGCAGGTGAAAATTGAATATTGGTCCAGGTTAGACTTCATGAATTTGAATATTTTATTTTAATACCAAATAAAGACATAAAAAAATGTGTTTTTAGTGGTTTTTTGAGACAACTATTAGGGTAACCCCTGACCGGATGAGTAGGAACCTCATTTTTATTTCCAAGGGGTTGATTGTGGAATTTCACTGCAAATCTCCTGAAAAACTTCATTTTGTAAATTTTATTATGGCAGCTTGTGTAAGAGGTTTCTCTGGGCAAATTGAGTGAAATTGAACAGTATTTGTAGTCGAACTGTCAAAGTTTCAGTGTGGATTTGAAAGAACAACAAGGCATATGTTGGCAAAAACAGAAAGAATCCTTTATTTCTGTGAAAGAAAATAATTTAAATGTATCATTTTCTGACAAAGAAGTTGAATCTGAAGCATTTTGGGCCACTTACTACACTTTCCTCGAGTCAGTGGATTTACCTGCCGGTACTTTCAGCTGTTTGTATGAAATTGTATCACATACAGTGGAAATCATCTGAAATGATGCTATTACAGATCAACTAAATCATTTAAATGCTGCAGTTCTCTGGAATGTAAAGCCTTCCACTTCTGATGGTCTGTGATTGTGGCAGGCCAGTCTTGTTTGAAAGCAGAATTGCATGCTTTAACATGGGCCGTGTGCTGATCTTTTGTTCCCAGGTTGTTGGCAGAGGAGCCTTCGGAGTCGTCTGCAAGGCCAAGTGGAAAGGCAAAGATGTGGCCATCAAAACCATCGAGAGTGAATCTGAGCGGAAGGCCTTCATAGTGGAGGTAGTCAGTCTGAGTGATGGGGGAGCTTGATTATCTGCCCCGGTTGAAGGGTGGGTCAGGGGCCGTCGTGCCACACCCTCAGGTGGAAGTTAAAACAGCCCACCCGTCCGTTTCTAACGGTGACAGATCGACGCTAATTCCTGCCGCTCCGCATTAACGGCGGCATGGAGCTTTTATTAAGCTGAGACCCGCACGCGCTCAGCTAGCCGCGCCATTAACCGTCACCTGGGAGCCAATGTGCAAGCAGCGAGACGGGGGAGGGGCGACGGCTGCTTCTTATTTAGTCCCGGTGATGGGCAAGGGGAGCCATTTCCACGGCGGTTATTAAAAGTAGGGGGAAGAGTGCAAAATGACTTTCAATTAATTTTGTTTATTGGATTAGCTACTCGGCCAAGCTGCGAGATCTCCTTCCCGTCGGTTGACGATCACGAAACGTGGCTCTTTCTCGCCCCCCAGCTCCGGCAGCTCTCACGCGTCAGTCACCCCAACATCGTCAAGCTGTATGGCTCTTGCAGTAGCCCAGTAAGTCCACGCCTGGCCCTCTTTCACAGAACGAACAGAGTTGCTGTAACCATGTGCTAAAACACGCTTATCCTAGAGCGCATAGTGAACGCCTCAATGTTGCCGTGATGATGGCGGTACCATCCCATAATATTCTCTCTTCCATAGGTCTGCCTAGTGATGGAATATGCAGAAGGTGGCTCTTTGTACAATGGTGAGTCTTCTGGTCAGCTTGGCCTTTAGGCTGTGGGGCTGAGGGTTAGCCAGTGCGGTTACAGCCGTTTTTAATGGCTCCTAATTACTCTCCAGTCTCATCGTTAAAGCGCCGCCGGGTGATTGAATCTCGGCACATAGCTTGCATGTCCGTGTACTTAATGGAGCTTTTTAATAGGAGTGCACTTGGCTGGGAGTCTTTCTTGTCTTTAAGGGAGTGCCATTGGTGGGTATGTATCTGTGTGTGCTGTTAATATTTGTAAACTGCACCTGAGTGCTCTAATCTTTTGAGGATCGCCATTCCCTTCTCATCCGTGCCCTGCTTTAATGTAGCTATGCTCCTTCAGGCCCTCACCGATAATTTCAGCATCAGTCTGAGCTTTTAGTCTCATTTACAGTGTTTCCCGTTGTGGAATCGTCATGCTTTTTTTCAGGTAATGTCGATTGCTCAGATTTTATCTGGTCTGTGATGAGGGAGAGTTTGGTTTGGCGTGTGCGTGCGTGCGTGCGTGCGTGCGTGTGTGTGGCCTCCTCACCAGCAGCCTCCTTTCCCCCGCAGTGTTGCACGGAGCGGAGCCCCTTCCCTGTTACACGGCCTCCCACGCGATGAGCTGGTGTTTCCAGTGCTCTCAGGGCGTCTCCTATCTCCACGGCATGAAACCAAAGGCGCTCATTCACAGGGACCTCAAACCACCCAAGTACGCCCTCTTCTTTCTCTGTGCTCCCTCTGACACTCCACCGCAGTGGATGTCAAAGCGTGGCTTCTCTCCATTTATGTTCTAATGGGCCCGCTGAGGTGCCTAGTTGTAGGGCCCTGCTTGTCATTTTAAGAGATTCCCTGTTATAACCATCGTAGTTTTCACAGTGTTTGTGTCCGTCTCTCCCTCCGGTGCCGTTATGGTTCGGTGGACTGTGGTGTTTAAAGCGAGCAGTGTGTAGCGGCTGTGCTCCGCGTTTATGAGGTGTCCTGGGGGTCGGAAGAGCCGCTGAATTTCTTCATTGGCCCCTTGATGGCTGAGAGCCCCTGGCTTGGCACTGCGGAATCTGCCAGCTGTTCCTGTTCCTGAGGAGCATGCTGCACCGCTGGGGAGATGTGGCCCAGAGGCTCCCCCCAATGTCTAGCCCTTGGCTGGGGTGTTTTGTCAGTGATGTGTAAATTATATGCGGCATCCAGGTGCAGCATTGTGGATCGACTGATTTGGCAACGTGGCTGCACAGCTTTTAGAAGCACTGCAGTGTTTTTGCTGCGTGTCACATCCCCGTCTGTGTGAAACACGCCTGTCATCGCCGCTTTTCAGCTTCCCGCTGCAGATGTTAGACTGGCACATGTCTCTGGGTAGCTGCGTCACCCTCTCCATCTCTCACAGCTTGCTGCTTGTGGCCGGAGGGACAGTCCTGAAGATCTGTGACTTCGGGACGGCCTGTGACATCCAGACGCATATGACCAACAACAAAGGCAGTGCGGCATGGATGGCCCCAGAGGTCTTTGAAGGTGAGTCCCGGCCCCCGGTGCCTTCCTGGGCATCTCGCTATCTAGCGAGCTGGGATATTAGGCATCGTAACGCTGCCCTTCAGTTCTTCAGCACTTGCTGGGAGGATGTTATAGACTAACACACACACAAAGTCTGTTTACGCACCCTGACCGGCTTTTAATCTTTATTCGCATGAATACCCCACTAATGCATCCCTAATTGATTTATATTACCTGCTCTAAGAATAGCTAAATCTTGCGCCATGTTGTATGACACTATAAATCACACTGATGGGATTAAAGGAAGTTCCCTGTATCGTTTAAAAACGAGCTCGGCGGCGGTCAGCTCCGAGAGCCGCCCCGCTTTGCCGGGGTCAGAGCGGCGCTTATGAGGTGCCGGTTAGTCAGACCATCTGAGATGGGAATAGCACGGCTCGTGTGCAATTAAGCCAGTCATAGGTGTCCTGAAAATGAACTTCTTAAGCTCATTTGCATCACTGTGAAATATTTCTATTATCAGTAGGCTTAGACATAATAACTTTAAAATGAGCAGACATTTAACGCTTTGGCTCTGGTGTAATAAGTGCAGTGATTAACTTTCCTGGGAGCTGTCTTAGGTGGTGAGGAAGAGCCTAATATCTTCACCCTGCGCACTGGTGAGGTGCCGGGCCCGCGGGAAATGCAGTGAGCTCATGCCAGTGGCCCGTGTTTCTCCACAGGCAGCAATTACAGTGAGAAGTGCGACGTGTTCAGCTGGGGCATCATCCTATGGGAGGTGATCACGCGCAGGAAGCCGTTCGACGAGATCGGCGGCCCCGCCTTCCGCATCATGTGGGCCGTGCACAACGGTGAGACCCCCCTCCCTGGCCTTCGGACCCCCCCACAGCTTCAGTTAGCTTAGTGGCTGGAAGCCCGCACCCCCAGAACACACCAGTGCGTATTACCTGCTGGTTCTCCTGACGCTTAGCCTCCATTTTCCAACCTGTAGTTCTTTCTTGGTGGTAATGTTGACTCATTAAGGATATTAGCTTCTAATCAGAGGGTTTTTGTTTTGGCTCCCAGTTCATTCTTACCTTTGAGGTGAGTTTTTACCCTGAGACACTTCAGTAAAAATCCCGTTGTGTGAGCAGCCGACTGTCGGATCTGACAGATCAGCAGGATGGTAACCATGTCGTCTTCTTCCTCAGGCACCCGCCCCCCCCTGATTAAAAACCTGCCAAAACCAATTGAAAGCTTGATGACTCGTTGTTGGTCCAAGGACCCCTCCCAGCGACCCTCCATGGAGGAGATTGTGAAAATAATGTCCCACCTTATGCAGGTAACATGAATCCCTCACCCCTCCCCCGGCGCTCTAAGTGGCCAGGGAGGCCCACTAGCTAAATTGATGGACGTTTTTTTTCCTCCCTCTTTGGTAATTTTTGATTCTTTCCTTCTTTCTCCATTTTCCCAGTTTATGTATTATTATGTCTTAATGAAATTATAATGTATCACAACCCATGTAACAGTGCCTTTTCTGTTGTGAAAGGCACTATATAAAAATTAATTGAATTGAATTGAATTGATTTGAATTGAATTGAATTGAAGTGAAGTGAAGTGAAATGGTTGGGATGTTCTTCTAAAGACATCTCTGCCTTTTCCAGTTCTTCCCAGGATCTGAGGAACCTTTGCAGTACCCCTATCAGTACTCAGAAGAAGGTCAGAGTAACTCTGTCACCAGCACCGGTATATCGTCTCAGGCAGAAGTCTGACCCACAACCACATAGCCTCAGTCCTTGTCATTTAGTTTTATTAAAACTTTAATTCACTTAATATTTCTTGTTGGTTTTTTTTTCCTTAAAATTGCCAAAATTGAATCCAGCCATTTGTGAATCCCCAGTTTAAAGATACACTAAGATCTCATTCTCACGGTTCCTCAGAACGTACTGGGGAGGGCTGACCGGCTCTCTCTCTCTCTCTGTAGTGTCTTTCACCAACACCAGCAACAGGAGTGACGCCAACATGGAGCCGGGCGATTCGCAGGGGAGCAACGACACCATCAAGAACATGGAGCCAAAGTTTCCAACTCAGTTCAAGCCAAAGGTTCGTTTTATCTGCACTTCAGGTTGAGGTGTTCTGAGCTTAAGTAGGCCTTAATATGGTAGACCGAGTTTTATCTTGTGAAAGAATTACGTTAATGGCGGGTGCAACCATTGCTTACTGTTGTCTGTAAAGTGTTATTTGCGTTTCACACTTGATAGTCAAACAGTCCCCTGATACATTACATGTGCACTGTTGGTGTTTCGTCGCCCTTTGGGTATCTGCTCGGTAGGCTGCTGATTCTTCCGCTTGTTGTGGATGCTTGTGATAGGAGATGACAGGATTCCTGGTGTCTTCCCAGGGGGATGGTGTATGGGCAAACCACCCACTGTCCAGCGGGGGCAGTATGGAGAGCCTGTCAGGGCGGCCTCAGTGCCTGGTGCCATCGAATAGCAAGAGGATGAGCACGGACCTCTCAGAGCTAGAGCCCCGGATGCCATTTGGATCTGCAGGTAAGGTGTGAATGTCAGTGGCATGGAGAGGGGAGAAGTGGGAAGAGAGACATGGCTTTGAGGGTGATCGGTCATCAGGCTCCACACTGGGGGTTCAAAGACGAGCTAATGCAGAGCACTGTGCAGGCGTAGCTGTGTGAGGGGGCTCTGGGTGCGGTACGGGGGTAGCTGGGTGAGGGGGCTCTGGGTGCGGTACGGGGGTAGCTGGGTGAGGGGGCTCTGGGTGCGGTACGGGGGTAGCTGGGTGAGGGGGCTCTGGGTGCGGTATGGGGGTAGCTGGGTGAGGGGGCTCTGGGTAGTGTGGGAGGTTAAGGAGAGACTCTGCAGTTAAGGTCTGAAATGGTCTCGGCTGAGCAGACAGTTGGTTGCCTTCCCCAGCCTCGTCTCACCTGCTTTCATCACTCCGAAAAGGTGCCCTGCTCTAAATAAGCAGATCTATGCATGGCAGTGCCACGGTGCCAGCCTAGCTAAATGAAACGGGAACTTGACGACCTATGTGTGCCCCCCACATGAAGCCTTAAGGTCCGCTTTATGTTTGTGCTGCTCTTCATCACCATCTGCAGCTGTAATTGTCTGGAGGTGTGAATTTATACATCTAAAGTACCGCATGGCCAGAGCAGCCATTTATGGTTTTTCTTTTATTGTGGTGTTTGTGTGAGGGCTTTTTTATCATTTAAATACTTAAGTGGGGTATTACTTTCCGCAATTTGTGGAGTTTGTAACACCACAACTAATAATCTCAATTACAAATAATTGCATTTGTATGGCTGATATTATGCTGGATAATTATACCCACTCTTTTTGTGGGGGTGGAGGTTTGTCCTTAAAGAATAGAACTTTTTAAATGGGGAAAATATACCAAATAAGGGGATAGCGTGATTGGGTATGTCTCCGGGAAGGGCACTTAAGCTGCCTTGGGATCAGATAAAGCCAGACCGCGAGTATCTCAGCGGGATGACCCATAATTTGAGAACTTGTCTTCATAACTGTGGCATGTAATAGAGCTGACTTTACCTGCAACACATTGAAAGATCCCTTTTGACTCTACAAAAAGACCACTTACATCACTGAAAAACACGACTAAACGTTTCTGCTTCCATGAAATACAAAAATCATTGTCACCTAGCTACATTTGTCGCCATTTAAAGTTGATTTGCATGGTATCTCCATCGCATTAGAGGCTGAAATCTGCTCGTTTTCCGTAATTAACGTAAGTTCTGCTTCACACGCGCATCACCTTTCTTTTAAACCTGCTACAGAGACATGCAAACATCGTCTCATTTTGCACGGTTTATGTGGATGTCTGGCATTATGTGCAGTTTTATTCATTATCTTATTACTTTTCTCTGTTGCATGACCATATGAGGTAAACGTCTGTAACCGTCCTCCTGCTTCCTGTTTACACGTGTCATGCCTGGGGACGCCTTGTTTGGCTGCTTCTAACACTCCAGCTTGCAGCGTCACCCCGCTGTGCTCCCCCTTGTGCCGCGCATGTGTGTACGCAGCTGTGTGTGTGTGTGTGTGTTTTTGCAGCACGTCCCCCGTACAAACGAGGCCACCGTAAAACCGCTTCCTTTGGCACCATTCTGGATGTCCCCGAGATCGTCGTCACAGGTACCACTGCTGGCAGTCGGGCTCCATGGCGCCTCCCGCTGGCTGCACTGTCACACGCCGCCGCTGTGTGTCGCTCCAGGTCGTTGCTTAGCCAGGTGTCTGCCTGTAGGGGGCGCCGTGAATCCTCCCAGGACTCCCCTTCCCTTCGGGGACATGGTTATTTATCATTTCAGGTTCTTTTTCAGCGGATGAGGGGCACTTTCCCCAGTTCCGCTCTAGTTCGCGGTACACCTGGAGTAACGCACCTGGCTTTGTGCTTTCTGTGTCGCCTCCCTTTAATCGACGTGCTCCATCGATCATCTGGCATGGCTTTGAGGTTCATTCAGTGGGCGGCTCCTTCCTCAGGGGAAGCTCTCACGCCGGGTCGCCTCTCAAATTCCACATGGCACGGCATGGCTAACATTCCTAACCCAGGACTTCCCAAAATCCTGGACAAATTTCCTTCTCATTTCAGACTCTCGGCTGGGATTAACAGCCTTTCCGGGTTGGGGTGAAGGTTATCGGGGGGGTCAGGGAGGGGATATCGCCTTACTTAGGTGATGGAATGGGTCTGTTAACATTGTTATTAATCAGCTTTGATTTTAATCTCTGCAGTAACACTGATCTTAAATTAATCTCAAAGTAATTTCTCAATTAATTCTGTGGTGTTCTAATTCTTGGTGAAAAGAAGCATAAATTGTGATCAAATCAAGTGTGCCCGTGTGTGTGCCCGTGTGTGTGTGCCCGTGTGTGTGTGCCCGTGTGTGTGTGCCCGTGTGTGTGTGTGTGTGCCCGTGTGTGTGTGCGTGCGTGCCCGTGTGTGTGTGTGTGTCTGTATGCAGAGCCTGTGAGGACTGTGGGAGTGATTCTCTGTGTTAGCTTCAGGGCCTCTGCTGGTTTGATGGTTAAGGAACTTATGAGTGGCCCTGTTGTCCGCCTCTTAAGTGGCTCTCTGGCTGCCTGACTGTGTGTAGATTGTGGCCCCAGGTAAACGCATCAGCTAGCACATGTGAATGTAGGGGTTGCTCTGTATGCACCTTGGCTTATTTCGGCATTGGGTCAGCGTCAGTAGATGGCAGTGTTTCTGCGGTTCTCGTTGGCGGAAGTTTTGTGGTTTTATCTTTCATTTTAGAAGTTACAACATTTAACTTTTTCTTTTATTCATGCTCATTCAGCTCTGTCATCTTGGAGGAATTGTGTACTGTTCTGTGTATGTTTGTATCTGATATATGAATACAGATTTTCATGTGGTGTTATGTTAATAAAGCACCTAAAAGTGATTATTTTCAGTTTTGAGAAAAAAATGCTGCTGTTTGAGTGTTTCATGTCACGCTGCAGTGGGTGATGCTTGTCATGTACTGATGTGGAAGGAGATGGCATCACTGCCCCCTTCTGGTGGTCTCCAGCAAGTGACTCGCAGTGTAGGGCCATGATCGCCAGTGTTGCGTTATTTGTGTTACGTTTGTGTTTGACTGCAGATTTACTTTAGCACTAGTCATGGGTGTGGGGGCAGAGATCTCCTGGGGGGCCTGGAACTAGCTGCTAGCGCTGAGCCTCAGGCTAGCTGGTATCCATGGATGTATTTGACACACGATGTTGTGGACAGCCAGCTACTTGTGTGGTAGGCCTGCCGTGTGTGTGTGTGTGTGTGTGTGTGTGTGTGTGTGTGTGTGTG